TTAAACGAAGCCCGAACTTGCTTCCCCTTTTGACATGCATCACATATGGTGTCTTTTTCAAACTTAAGTTTTGGAATGCCAATTACTAAGTCTTGTGAAACCAATTTGTTCAAAAGGTTCATGTTCATATGAGCTACCCTTCGGTGCCATAACCAAGTGTCTTCCTCTTTACTCATGAGGCACTTAGCAAAGCCGGAAAGAGATTTGTCTAAGTTAACCATGTATATGTTATCGATTCTATCACCACGTAGAATGACCTTATTGTCACTAAGGCGTTCAACAGTGCATGATTTTGAATCGAAGGTCACACGGTTTCCCTTGTCACATAATTGACTTATATATGCTCAAGAGATTGTGTTTAAGACCTTTAACAAGCAAGACATTATCTATAGAGGAGTCTTCGGACTTACCTACTGAGCCGACGCCAATTATTTTTCCTTTGCTATTGTCTCCAAAGACTACGTTTCCTCCTTTAGCGGGTTTGATTTGTAGGAACTTGGATGCATCTCCGGTCATGTGCTTGGAACATCCGCTATCAAGGTACCAAAGTACACTTGACGCCATCAAGCATACCTACAAAGATGATTTAATAAGATTTAGGTACCCAAGTCTTTTTGGGTCCTTGAGTGTTAGGTGCAAAGTGGTAGTGTGATTCATTTTGTGCCCAATGCCTATGCCTAGTAAAGCAAACGGGAGCTATATGTCCTACCATATTGCAGTAATGGCAAACTACGTTTGGGTTGTGCATCCTCCTAGGTTGATAGTAGTTGCTAGGGGGCCTAACCATATTCATCCTGTTTTGAGAAAACATTGGTTTTTGAAAATTTTCCCTTCTAGGTGTCCTAAACTTATTTTGTCTATTTGAAAAATTATTTTTATGCACAAAATCATTTTGATAACTCTTCATAGGTTGTCTAGTATGCACACTTTCATTCCTAGGTTTTGTCTAGGTTGTCTAGTGTCCTTAGTTTGACTAGATTTTCTATTATCCTGATTTTTAACCTTCTCATGTTGAGCCTTATTAGATTGTCTAGGTGTGTGCTCAACGTTTTTATCCTTAGGTTCATTTTTATCAAAACCTATTCCTTCCTAAGAGAAATGCATAGTGTCAAAAAGTAAGTTAAGATCTTTGTGTGGTGTATTAAATTTCTTAACCGTACTCTCAAGTTTTGCAACCTTTTCTTTTAAAGCTTTGCAAGATTCACATTCACTTGAAGAGCTTTCCGGTTTGTCAGCGCTTCTTTTTCCATAAAATTTATTTTCTTGTTTCAACTTCTCATTATCTTTTTCCAGTTTTTCAAAATCATTTTCAAGGGTTGAAAGACGTTTCTTTAATGATTTGTTGGTTTTAGAAGCGCTAACAAATTCATCATAAAGCTCTCGAAGAGCTTCTTGCATTTCTTCAAAAGTGTAAGAGTCGGAAGAAGGGGTACATACCTCTTGTATTTCGTCGGCGTGGTCTTCGTGTGCCATGAGGCAGAGGTTGGCGGCTTCCTCCTCTTCTTGGTCAGTTGACTCATCCCCGGAGTCGCCACCCCATGAGATGTAGGCGCGTTGCTTTTTGAAGCCAGGTTTGTCCTTGCCGCTTTTGCCTTTTGGACACCTTGGCTTAATGTGGCCTATCTCACCACAACCATAGCACTTCGGGGGTCCGTCGTGCTTTCTTCCTTTCCTTTCAAATTCTTTCTTCATGAATTTGTGGAACTTCTTGATGACGAGTTCGAACTCGTTGTCGTCATAGCTTGACACTTCTTCCATGGTCTCCTTGGTTGCTTTCAACGCTATTCCCTTCTTCTTTTGTTCATCCAAAGACGGGGTTAGAATAGTAGATTCATAAGTTTTGAGATTACCTCTTAACCCGTCGATGGTGACATTTGAGACTCCAATGGATTCGTAGATTGCATCTGCCTTTGATCTCCATTCGGGTGTGAGACTCCGCAGGATTTTTCTCACAAGATCCTTGTTGGCGTAAGTCTTCTTGAGTGCATGAAGGTCGTTGATGATCTTTGAGAACCGATCAAACATATCATCAATCTTTTCGCCTTCCTTCATTCTGAACATCTCATACTCCTGCGTTAGGAAGTCAATTTTGGCTTCCTGAACTTGGTCCGTACCTTCATATGTGACCTCCAGCTTGTCCCACATTTCTTTTGCAGTGGTGCAGCAAGAGATCTTGCGATAATCATCAGGATTCACGGCATAGTAAAACATGTTGATAGCCTTGGCGTAGTTCTCCACCTTTTTGATGTCTTCGGCATCAAATTCGTCCTCGGTCTTTGGGACGAGTTTTTCACCAACCTTCTTCATTGGAATTTCCTCGCCATTCTTGATGACCAACCACAACTGAAAGTTGGTTGAGCGGATATAAATTCTCATCCGCTCTTTCCAATATGTGTAGTTGGTGCCATCAAAGAGCGGTGGCCTAGAGGTTGATTGACCTTCTCCAATTCCTGCATAAAGATTTCTAGAAGAAGAACCCATGATCGCTTTACTCT